AAAACGCACTTGAATGAATCCTGACAGCACGTCAGACACACTGCATGTAGTGAGGTCTCTAATTTATACGTTTCTGTGCACCGGTGACGTAAGGCCGACAGCCAATCACAGCCAGGTTCTTCCACAAGAAACGGACCAATTGGGAATGAAGATGGGCGGGGTTACAGCTGTCGGCTGGCGAGATGTGTCTGCGGGCGAGGCAGTGAGCAGACAGGTTTCTGTGGTGAGAGCCAGCAATTTTAAAGAAGTCGTGTACAAACGTGTTCGAATCCAAGTCACACGAGATACTGATGGGGGGGGGGGGGCGCAAAGCAGTTTTCTTCAGTGCACTGAATCAATACAATCAGTTCACTTTAAAGATTCATTCAAAAGATTCGTTTACTGCTTGGCTCCGACTGCGTAGTCGAGCGTTCAGAGTACATTGTGAAGGATAAACTGAGGATTTAGTTGGATGAAGATGCTGTTATACATATTCAGTACTACTTCCTACTTCAACACTTCAAGACCTGAGTGGGAAGGAGGGAGTGTATCCTTACACGTTCACTCACAACTGACTGAAAGCTCGACTAAAAAGGACTAAAAAATGAACTAATCATTTCATGAAATTCAGTTAATTCACCTAAAAAGATTTGTTATTTTGAACGAATTGTTCAGGAGTGACACAACTAACAGACAATGTGTTGTGAAAGTCAGCGATTTAAAAGCAGTCGTGTACAAACGTGTTCAACTAACACCACAATATCAGGTGAGGAAAAAAAAGCAGGCAGATGTGGAAATATCTGTCCAGATGTGAAAAGACATGAAAAGAAAGCTCAACCTGAGCAGGTGTCAGACGAGAGAAAGTGACCTCTTGTGGCTGCTGACAAACACACATCACATTCCTTTGGAAGTCGTGTAGCTTCACTGCAAGGCTCAACCTGTGAGCCATACGTTGCCAAAAGGTAACAACCACAGTATAAATATATATATATAAATATCTACAGCAGTAAAATGCAACATTAATGCAGCTGTAATATTAATGCAAAAACATCAGAAATGATAATAAAACATTGACATCGAACATGTTACTGCAGAGGGATTACTTTTGTACCTTTTTGCTAATTATACTTTCATATTTTTACTTTTAACTTTCACAGTGTGGTGTTACTACTTTTGTTCAAGTAATACTTCCTCTACCACTGTAAGAAGGTACGACAAACACATTATCTTCCCTAAGTTGAGTTAAGGACCTCTAGTGGTAAAATATGTCAACTGCAATAATAATAACTTCATTTGATCCCACTGGCATTCAGCAAATTATAAGAATAAAATGTGTTTTAGAATGAGAGGACACACACAAAGTAAGCTTTCAGGTTGTTTTATTTACACGATCACCATCATTTTATTTTATTCAGATTTTGTTAACAAATGTGGTCCTTAAAGAACAGATCAGAAGGTACAAAATATTACACAGCAGACAAACGTTGTTAGAGGAGAAAGTTGGTTGTGTGTTTTTCTACGGATGCTGCAGGTTTACACCATCGCAAAGATTCACTGGGACGATAAAGGACACATCTGACAGGTGAACAGGCCCAACTGAGGGAGCTTTGTCGCACTATTTTAGTTCGCCACAGTCGGCAATAACAACCTTGGCTTTAGGAGTGCCGCTGGTTGTGCCGTGCTTATCCATTGCCTTGACAACATCCATGCCCTCCACGACGTTGCCAAACACCACGTGCTTCCCGTTCAGCCTGGAAGGAAGAGGAGGCCATTAGTATGTAAGACAAACGTTCTGAAACAAGCTGAAACTGTTGATTAAACCTGAATGCGGCACTAGATGATACAGAGTGGAGCTCACCACTCAGTTGTAGCCGTGCAGATGAAGAACTGGGATCCGTTGGTGTTGGGCCCAGCGTTAGCCATGGACAGTGTGCCAATGCCCGTGTGCTTCAGCTGGAAGTTCTCATCAGCAAACTTCTCCCCGTAGATGGATTTGCCTCCCGTTCCGTTGTGGTTGGTAAAGTCCCCGCCCTGAATGAAAAGCATAAAAAAGGTTCAGTGTATCAGGTTGAATCTGAACTTGTGAAAACAAGGAAACAGGACACATTCCTTGCCTTCACTGTACCTGGCACATGAATTTAGGGATGATGCGGTGAAACGTGGAGCCCTTGTAGCCAAAACCTTTCTCTCCGGTGCACAAAGCACGGAAATTCTCTGTAAAATAAAGACTTCATTAAATATACTTAAACCAACCGGAATAGGGAAATAAATTGTAGGTTCATCTCCTCAGTAATAAGCACTAACGATGCTTTAGAGGAGCTGAGGTCACCAGCTGAGTGCTTTATATCATTACTTATGCAGCAATAAATTGAATCTACCTCTCTACTCGCTTTGTGGTTGTGTCTCTTTCAATTAGTGTTGATTCTCTTTGTAGTTGTTTTGAGTCTCTGTGGTTGTTTTCAGTCTCTTTGCTGTCATTTTGAATTACATGTTTGGGTCATCCCTCTTTGTTGTTGCTTTGAGTCTCTGTGGTTGTTTGCATCTTTTTATGGTTATGTTCTGTCTTTGTTGTTGCTTTGCGTGTCTTTGAGGTTGTTTATGTTTCTTTGTGGTTGTTTTGTATCACAGGTGAAGCTGACCTTTCAGGAGCTGCTGTAATTACACTACATATTATAATATATATAATTACACTCTGTGACCCCTTGAGAATCCCTTGACATGTGGAGGGCCTTATGAAAGTTCCTCGTGGGTCGTATCTGCCCCCCCGGACGTTATTTTGAGGATCCCGCTTTAGAGAATACGACAATTAAAGTGCAGAAATAGCATGATTTATTTGGGCCACTAGAGGAACTACTGTATGCACAAAGGAAGCATATAGGCCAGTTTCTGCCCCCACTGAGTGTAAATGAGGTCAGTGATGCATCACTCAGGTTTTCTTGTTGGGAGCTGCAGGAATGTTGTGAGGCAGAGCAACTGATATATTAAAACCACCGTTTACGCTCACTTTCTGCTCTGCGACTTCCTGTTCAGCCTCTTTTCATCCTTCAATGCCTTCAAGCCTCGACCCATATTCAGAATAAACTCTCAGCTGAGGATTAATGGGGACACATAGTTTCCCAACATAAACAGAAATCCATTTTTGGGTGTGTGGAAAAAACTCTGAGCAGCAGCTCTGTAGTTAACGCTGCATGCACTGAAGATGCAGAGCGGCCTCCTTTTTTGTCAAAGCTTACCTACCTGCAGTCTTTGGGACCACATCCGCCCGCAGCTGCAAAACAAACACATTTCAATTAGTGGAGACAAAAAAAACAGCATAAGTGAGCGACAGTTTGACTCATACTGCACAGACCGGAAAGAGAGAGAGAGAGAATATAAACTGAACCTCTGGAAGAAGCTCAAATGTCCAGAGTCTCAAATCTGACAACAGCAACAACGAACTGGCTCATTTCAACAGCTGTAATAAGACTTCATTATAATTAATCGATTAATCTTGCAGTTATTTAATAGTTTATTTGTAAAATGTCAGACTAGAGTGAATATTGTCCAGTGTTAATGCAAACGTTTGTATTACAGTATTTTTGGTGGTTTTACGGTATATTAGGAGGTTTATAGTGACTTATTCTGCTGTCAGGAGAATATAAAAACACTGTAATGCTATTTTTATTGTAAACTGCAACAGAACTTATAAAATAAACAAAGAAAATACACCAGCAGCTTTAACAATGCTTCATCTTTCAAAATAAAGTATTACAAAATAGTTGTATAAACACTAAAAACTGAGTAAGGATAATATTCAAAGCATTCACATATTATCAAAGAGATATCTCCCAAATATTCTACTGCACAAGAGAGAAACAAACGAGTTACAGCAGCTGTTTTTTTAATGTGTGGGTCTGTGTGAGGTTTATTCTGCTGTCAGGAGTACATAGAATATAAAAACACTGTAATGCTGTTGTGTGTGCAGAATGTAAACTTTTTATTTGTGCAAACTGAGCTTAAAAATAAAAAAAAACACCAACAACTTTAACAATGCTTCTTTTTTCAAAGTTCTCCAAGGAGACGCGGATGAAAAATATGTTGTATGTTAGTATCATAAGGGAAATTAAAACCTGTATTCCTATCATTTATAACAGGGGCCCCAATATTTTTATTTGTTATTAAATGCCAAAAAAACCAAATATATTAAGGTGTAATATATGAAGTCCAGACATTAGAGAGCACCAGACACTGTGTGACATAAGGTGCATGAAATATGAGCTTAAAGATCAATTATCTAAATATTTACTGATCAATCTGATATCCTGTGTCAGTGAGCTCAGCCTGACTGACTGATTATAACTGCTGTTACTGACTGATTATAACTGCAGTTACTGACTGATTATAACT